GCTAAACGCGTTTCGATTGGTTTAAAGTAAAAAATAACTCGCATTCAGCACTTAGAGTATCAAACTCCAAAATTGTTGCAAATCAAACTTGCACTACGCCTTCTGTTTGTGGCCTATGTATTACTCACAAAAGGAACGAGTCTACAGATCTAACCAACTTCATACCCCTAGGGAACAGAGGTATTCCGTGTAGTTTTATTTCTTCTCTTTACAATAGTTCACATGTTACACAAAGATTTATTGGCGATCTTTTCAATTTGTTCTGAGATCAAAATGAATGCTGTTATTGTGGCAAAGTCAGATGTCGTTATGTTATAGGTTTGGTTATGTTTCCTTTATTATTTCGAAATTTGATTTTGTTGTGCCATTTATTAAAGGTATCGTCGAACTTTGAAGTAAATGATAATGCTTGATTGTGTAATTAAAACTTTTGAGTCTATAATGGTATTCCATTGTATACGTACCTACTTTATTACGCGTTGATTATTTATAATAAAAACTTCGGGAAATCAAAAGGAATCTTTCCTTTTCTGGTCGAACTCACAGTTGGTCGTATTTTATTTTTATAAGTTCATTCCCTACATTTTATTATTCAACCCAGTTTTATAGTAAACATGCTTATGAGAACTGACGTTTGTCACGCTACTAGTAACTACAAGTTGTAGCAAGGAATAGCTACAAAAAGGCACAACATTTGTTTTCCCAATCAAAGGAAAGTTTAAGCTTTGTATTGACTTATTATCTTTACGCGAAAATCACAAAATACTTAAGTAATGTTAAAAATGTTATCTTAACCTGTTAAACAATTTACGAATCATCCTTCGGCACATTTTTTGGATAATTTGTTCAAAGGGTAAATATTTTCAATAGAATTTTAGCTTTAGAAAAAGTAGGTACAATGGCGGACGTGGCGTGCGATCGTCGGAAAGAATTTCCAATTCACAGTACTTTTTGCTCCAGTTTCAAAGAATAACGAAGCGTGCCGAGTAAGATATTTCTTGTGGACTACCAGAGACATGTAAAATGTCTGCATAACTACTACCCTCGTCTGCATGTTTCTGCTATTATGGTAATTTATCATTGCTTTCTACGTCTATGATTCTATCTAGCTAGAATAAAAATTCGCTGTGTTACTTTGGAAGCAAATTGAAGGCAAATTTTTGGATGTCTTAGTATTATTTAGATATCTTCATTTATTTGAGATTTTTGATTTAGATTTGAATTTTTAGGTTTTTAGGTTGAATAGAAATTTTATCGTAACTCAGTGGACTAAGTTTTAAGTGGAAATTAAAAGCGATTGTAATTATTGATGTTCGTTCAAAACGCACAGAGAAATTTACAATATTGGACTACTAATGTCAAGTTATTTCAGAATCTGAACTAAGCTAACACAGGCCTTTGGATGCACGACACTTCTATTTATTCAATTTAAACTGTCAAACACCAAGCGGTCACCGGTGACCGCGACCTATTGTTCTTTAATTGTGTCTATTAAACCGGTACTCGACGAGTTAAAATGGAGAAGTAGTAGTCTACTTCTAAATTTAAGAAGGAGTTTAGCATGATGGTAATTTTTTAACCCTCTTCATTTGTATCTCATTGTTGTTTATTTTTCATGAAATATTTTACTTGAATTTACATAAAATTATTAAAATCCACGAGCGCCTATAACTCCATTGTGTCCTCCACTACGCAGGACTGTACTTGGTGCTAATTCTCCGATCCCTCGTCTATGCAGGTTGCTGAATAGCTATAGTGACCTTGTTGATGTGCATTTGGACTCGCTTGGCAAGTTTCGCGTAAAGGTTAAGTTGATTCTTTATGGTGATGTTGCCCGAATGTAACTATTTTTATTTGTTTTGTCTTTATGTTCACTTTTTGTTTTGCCCACTATTTATGTTCTCATTGTAAGTATCAATTGTCTTTATTGTACGTGCCGTAAATTTTAAATTTTAAGTTTAATATCCAATTTGTCTCCGATACTAGTTCTTCTTAGTTATTTTGAATGTTAAATCCATGTCTGGTTGGATTTGCCTGATCATAGTGATTTGTAAACCATTAAGTATATAACGCATGTTGTGCTTACCTATAATAGATTGATGCACTAGTATTTAAGTTTTCGTAAATGTAACCCTATATTGTATAAGTGTAATCAATTGTTGGTGAGCCAAATCAATAAAATAAAAAAAATAAAAAAATATTTTACATGGAATCAATTTTTATGATATACGTACTGTTTAGTATATCTTACAAGAGAAAATATTACCAATAAGAAAGTTAACCCGTAATAATTATAATATCTTTTGTTTTGGTTGCTAATTAGCAGCACCCCGTTGTTAATGATCTCAAAGGCTTTAAGAAAAGCTAATGTTCTGCAGGAAATGTTAGGAGGTTATATAAACCTGAGATCTAGGTTACCTACATCGAGTTAGGTAATACCTTTTATTAAACTTTATACTAAGATATAATGTTTTGCTGAGAATAGTAATCTTTGTGTCTAGTAGTATACCTCTAGTATATGGTTCGTGTTATTATTTAGTTAGTAAACATTAGTAGTATAATAATAGCTTGAACATGGACCACGAACCTTACTTTTATATCTTTTACAAGTACCAGTAGTCAATCTCATAAATAAGAACAGGCCATTTAACCTTACGTAAGATGTGGATCAACGAATACCAACACAGCGTCAGACTGAGGTATAGAATCAAAACTAATCGGACTAAGACAAAGTAAATGTTTGTTTAACGGGATAATAAATTAAATAGAAGTCTATTCTCGGCCAGGCTTTCTATTCCCACAGTCTAGCAGATATTTGTTAAATATTTACTCATCGGAAGGACCATTCTTAGCTAAAGGTAGCATTAGCACGGAAAGCGAGACTTACCACCTTTTGAAATATAAATTTGTGGCTGACCCTCGCTGAAGGTATTTGCGGAATAATAATTTTAAAACAAACTTCCAACATTAAAGTCTAGATTGAAATTAGATTTTTCAGATTAAATGTTCATCAAACGTTGTTATTCCGTTATAGACACTTTTTTAAAATTGCTCTATTATGAAAAGTAATCATGGATAAATCTATCATTTGTGTAATTATTGTAATAAGTTTGACATTGTTTGGATTGATTGCTATAAAAACTAGATAAAGCATACATATTTTCACACAATATAAGAATATGTTATACATATTTTGAAAACGAATTTAGATTTAAAAGTAGGACTATCACCGCTACCCAACAACATTCAACAACTACAGCAAATATTGCAATAGTTTTTGCAATTTATGCAATATTGCCACTTCTATTAGTAACATACTACGTCTCGAGCCAGAGACTAGAATATACAATGTTACCTGAAGTTGCAAACTCTGTCACAAGTTCAAATGTTTGGAGTTTAAACTTAGTACTTGTCGAGGATATTAAGGCATGTAGGCATAGTTCAATGCTTTTGCTTGGGAGGTATGGAAATACCTGCATATATTAATGTGGAAAATCTTCCAAACTTTAAACTTACTCTTATATGTATGTAACTTTATACTTATCAAGTTTTAAAACAAAAACTCTCAGAGCATTCACCTTCTTCTTCAATTCAATAGTCTAACTCCTTTATGGTAAAACTTTAGTTTATATTAAGAAGTTTGCTGCATCTTGGATGCACTTCAAAATACAAATCTTATGAAGGTACATAGCTAACCAACAACTGGAAAAACCTCGAATCATGAAACATAACGTTTCGAGTGTGAATAGAACCCGTGAAAGCCTAGGAGCAGATTGCTTAACTTCTGCGTTTTGTAGTCGATAAAAGAAAGCAAGATGTCTGCTATATTAGTCCTACAGGACAGTATTCCGGCACAATCGAATTAAGACCAAACTGTCTAAAATGTTTTACTTGACATTCGCTTATAATAAACTTCTCTAGAAATACGCTGTTACAAAATTGACCTTATTTGTTTAAAAGGTTCTAACTAATGCTTCGATTAAAAGGCATAACCTATGGTATAAGCAATGAGGTTCCTAAGAAATGTGTGCTCAAAGCAAGTAATAGTCCCAAGTTTCAAATGACAGACAATAATTAACGTTAGAAGCAGACGGTACTTTGTAAGAAGTACCATTTGTTACAATGTCACTTCTAGAACTCAAGTGTTATTTACTCAGAAAACTTTGCGAGATTTAACTTTGTTTACTCGCACCACAACCTTGGGCAAGTCCAAGTAACTACCGCAAGGAGTGCTCGTGGATGTGGCCTGCGTTCTACATTTATTTGAGTGAAAATCTTATAAATTAATGCCAAAGTTTGCATGCTTTAGGTGTTTTGTACTCATTCAAGCAAAAACTGCTGTACGGATTAACTTAAAATTTTGCTCTCAGGGGCACCAACCGCGAGTTTACAATGCATTGAAAAACGTGTTTTATTTTGGAAACGTCATAAGATGTATTAATTTAATGTCTATGTAAGGAAAATGTATATGTAAAATTGTAATACCAATCTCGTTAGTACTAGTACGTACTACGAACTGACGACATTGCTTGAATTTTATAAATAATTTACACTTACATGACGATCATTATTCAAACACGTAAAATAGGTACAGTGTCTGCAAGCGATACAATATGCCGCAAATATACAATACTCGGTCTCGACGCAAGTAGCTATTTGCGTTGAGAGTAAAGTTTGCCTAACTTTGAGGTTACGAAGTTTAGCGTCCGGTTGAATGGACGATCAGAACGCGAGTACAAAATAATAGTAACAAGCAGTAGCGACACGACTGAACTACAAAAGTCAAAAGTCTAAGCATTTATTTCAATTATTCATTAATTAGACACTTTAAAAAGGTCAAAATCGAATTTACCATCAGTCTATCGTATCTGTCAGGTAAGCTAGATGCTCGTTCCAAAGTAACTATAGTTTTGAATAGAGAAGAATAGAAAAGAAACTGCAACGTTATTCTTTTTAAAAAAAATTACAATAGTTATATTGTATGAGAATTATTAACTTACCGAAAGTCGTTGTTTGCCGGGTCCGTCTTGGTTCGTTTCTAGATCGCGTGGGTCCTTAGTTCGGATAAGCTTGGTGAAGAGGATGTGCGTGTCACGTTTGACAACTCCCCAGTCTACCTTCTGAAAGCGTCCCATGAAGCTGTAACAAACGTACCACTGGTAGTACCACATCAAGTGACCGCAAGTACTTACAAAACCTGCTTAAAATAAAATGGACGCGTGCATACTACGCACTCCTTTTCCATTTTTATTGATCATTGGTTATTATTATTTATTTATTTAATTAGGTTCACCAATAATTGCAATGTTTGCCATGCATAGTTGATACAATTAGGATATTCTTAAATTACTGTACAACTTTTAAAGACAAATACAGCATGACTTATTTTTCAGGATTTGTGAACAAAGACAAGGGATAATCAACCTTTTTAAGTATAAATAATGTGATGAACTAATTTTAAATTTAAAAAAATAAGGCAAGAATTTTTACCTAAAGAAATAATATAACTTTGCATTATATCAGTTACTATTGCTATCCATTTGCTGTTATTCAACGAGGCGACTCTTCTATTATATTTAATTAACATTATACTGGTATTATTTACTTATCTAACACAAGATATAAATATAAGATAAATATTATATACAAAATAGACATAGATAGGTAGGTACATAATAATAATCATATATACACAAACAATTATTGTTTGCAATATATGCATCGCTTTATAAGGAAATAAGTCCAATGTACTTACTCGCTCATTCCTGGGATTCGCAGCCATGAACCCAGGAGGATGTCTGTTGAAAAAGAAAAGAATAGGTTAATCATTTAATAATAATTATTAGTATTTTAAAGCTTTTGGTGCTGCTTCAAATACGTTTTAATATTTAGATATTTGACTTCCAAATTCATTACAGGTACGACTTTATAATATAATTATATAATATTTTTATTAAAACGAAAACGTATTGGATTTTGGCCACGACACGCTTGATATGATATGATTTTCAATTATTGTTGTTGTACGTTCTCAGTCAGTACTAAAGACACGTAATCATTCAGTCATTTGAATCGGTAGAGGAACAATTAAATGATTTAGACAAACAGTATACCTACCTACAGACTTTTTCTGAAAATATATAACAAGACAAGTAGAAACAATCTAAGTCTAGGTTTCTTATCGCTGATCTTGATATGTAACAAGTAACCTTCAGTAGGACAGACAGTTCTTTTTTAACAAAATTATTTTATCAGACATCAAACTGTATAAAGTCACATACTTACTTTTTCTTTATAAAAAACATTTAACCCACAATAGTATTTTTTGTGGTATTGTGAATGTGTTTAATTTTACATCATATCGAACCTTTTTTATAAATTATTAGGATCCAAAAATTGTTATTTCTTATAATTATCGACAATATTATTTATGCTACGATCTGTCTATCAATCAGCTTATGCGTCAACCATGCAGCCACAAGAAGCTCAAATGTAATAGGTACAACATCCAATTTTCGCTATTTCACTTTACATTTTCCCAGGCTTTTTAGCTTCACCTTTTAGGAAAAGGTAAAAGGGGCGTAATGTTATGTCACGTTTAAGATATCGACAAAACCTTAAAGTTGAATTATCAACTAAGTACTCCGATTACCATAATGTCAAGGTTAGCCAAGCGTTGTGTTTGAGGATAATGAATATTCTAGAAATATCGAAAGCACAACCGGCAATGTCGAATTCAATTCGGTCAGGAAAGTGCAACATTATTTTACGATAAAAGATTTTAAATGAAAATTCGGTGTTTACAGCAAACTCTGATTTACGTAGGACACGCAGAGTTCAATTTAAATAGGTGTCATGTTTATCTACCGGCTATTTACTTTCGCTTAAACGCTTTGCAGTTTGCACACTGGCTCGATACTGAAGCCTTGTTTGCATTGCGACAGCGCCACTCAGTGTACACACACACGTTTTGTGAAAGCGTTCAAAGTGTGGTTTTTTATTTTCAATTAGTTGTAATGTACACCAATGGCATGGCTGAACGAGTATCCAATAGCAGGTCAGCTTTGATACTTTTTGACGCGTGACGTTGTTTAACAGTGACCGTTGAACTGTCACTAAAACAGAGGAAATGTTTGCTTACTACACTTTCATGTTTATTTTCTATCCGATATAAATATATTGGTGCATCGGTATATGGAGCATACTGAGCTCGCGTGCAGCTTGTGTGTGAGCATATGACGCATTGTGCGTTGGAATGCGCCTGCTTTTTTTCATATTCAAATTACGATATTCTTTAACGCGACAAATGCCCCTCATTTGTAAAGCGCATTTTTTTTTATAGTATAAGCCGGCAAACGAGCTGACGGATCACCTGATTGTAAGCAATCGGTGCCGCCCTTGGACAGTCGAAACACCAAGGCGTTACAAGTGCGTTACCGGCCTTTTGGGAATTGGGAATTTGAGGATTGCGGAGGATTCGGGGATTCGGGAGACGGGGACTAGGGAGGGAGGAAATTGAGCCTCCGGTAACCTCACTCACACGACGAAACATAACGCAAGCGTTGTTTCACGTTGGTTTTCTGTAAAGCCCTGGTACCACTCCGGTCGAGCCGGCCCATTCGTGCCGAATCATGGCTCTCCCACACTTAAAAGTCCCACATTCACCTAATGTGGACGCATAATCATATCTTATTTTCAAGTAAGTCAAAATGTGTCATCCAAATAAAAAACGTCCAAATACATGATTTACCCAAAAGACAAGACTAGCCAGATGAAAGAAAACTAACCTAAATATAGTCAGTCACTGATAAGGTCACTTAACACAGTCTTGGTTTGACATTAGACATAAAATAATTTTGGAATATTGATAGTTGTTTAGAAGTTATTCACATGTTTATTGTCATTTTGACATCAAAAGCTTACTTTCAACCTGTCTACCAGTATATTTTGAAAGGCATACAAAGAACAGTCCTTACAATAGTTCGAACAAGTCTTTTCACTGTCAATCCAAGGCGATTTGGTCACAAAATAACTTTTATATAGACCTGCCACTTATCTACGAAATACTGTTACAATCATTCCAGTTATTTCGAAAAATGGCTTAGACAGGCAGATAAATGTTTCGAAACATCAGTTTATGTTTAGTTAACACGCAAATATTCGTCCAAACTTAATGTTAAACTTTTATTTTTATGTGTTAAAATACACTGCCTCGTTGACCGAGTGGCCGCAAGTGCGACTTTTGGGCAAGGGGTATCGGGTCGATTCCCCGGTCGACACAAAGTAATACTGGGTTTTAAAAAAATTCTCAGTAGTAGCACGGAGTCTGGAATTGCGCCCGGTATATAGGGTCACCCCTATTACATAGGACTCATAACATAAACAGTGAAAAGAAGGTGTTACATTGTACAGTGGCATTAAGTGCCGAATTGTTATGTTACCTCTATACTTATAATACAATGTGTAAGATTGATAAATTTTTAGTGTGACCAATAAGTTGATCACATTAAGGATTTCGAAATCTTGTACAAGTTTATGGCAATAGGTTTGACTGCAGATTCACATCGGAACACTAACATCCAATTCATGACATAACTGCAGAAAAATGTGTCTTACATTGCAAGTATACGAAGACCTCTGCCAGCCCTTTCGAGGATAAAAGGTCATGACCTTATGTAAAAGTACAACTTTGAACTAAAAGTAGGCTAAGGTTAAGATAAGAAACGGTTGATGAAAGAAAAATGAAATGAACAAAAAGGTCTGTACCTATATTGTGTAAGGTTATTCATGAAATGAATGAACGAACTTCCAATTACTATAAATGCCATGAAGGTTACTTTTTAACGGGAAATGTTTCAATCTAAAAATAAAAAGATATATTTTTATTCAAACAATTCCGACGGAGTATCCTTACTTCGGACGAGAGTGCTTTTGTCTGGGGCTCCTTAAACTGTCCTTGAGATATACTTCTTTTTACGTAATGCTTTTACTTTTCAACTATAGGTATACTTAGTAATAAACTAAAAAACATACTGTGACAGAAAACTTTAATTTATTGTAAACATATATAAACTTCCGTAAAAAATAATTTCGTTTAAGTATAAAAATAGAACCAAGTGCCCAATGTGGCAGCTAGGTGCACAATTAATAAAAAAACGTTTAAATAAATTGTTTTAATCTACATTGCCCGTGCCATCAATTTACGATATCTGACGTTGATGTACTTCATGGAAACTAGAGCACCTTCATTCATTTTGTATTAAAACCACTTCGTATTAGGTGTGGTAACAGGGTGGGCAATAAAAACGATGTGTTGAGTGAATCGTAAATTAAATTTTATTGATGAAAAAACAAGTTCTAACCTGCTCTAGTAACAGTAAATTCTTTCTACTACAAAGAAATGAATTCTTATTTCAAATCTAACAAACCTTTTATATAATTCACGTGGAATGCCAGTGCTAATATCTAGTTAAAAAACCGTAACTACAATGCTACGAAACCGCTACGCAGCTACGGTATTCGTAGCATCCCGAAACCACCCGAGTACGTTTTGGGTACCGTATAACGGAATTAAATTATTCCCGCTAAAATTAGATGTACTCGGGTACCGAAATTATTGAAAAAGTGCCAAATTTTGCGGCTCTGCCATCGCTCGAGACCAAATTCAATTCTTTAAGTCAAATTCAAATTTGCTACGTGCTTTATCTACTGAAGATATTTTTCTTTTTGTTCCATCGACTTTGTTCAGTAAAATACTAATATTCTTCTTGTGTTCCATATACAATATAAAGTATAATTTGGAACTTGCATTTGGATAAATTTAAACCTAAATACCAATACATAAATCATATTATCCATTTAACCCTTCACGGAACTGTCATCAAAATGAAATTTCTAACACCCAAAATCCATCGTCCGACGAATTATTGCTACAATTCCGTAACGGTTAGCCCTCGTTAATCAATTATGTCCAATTCCAGTAGAATATCGAGCCTCTATGATATATATGATTGTGTTTATATAACAACATAGCATTCACTATGTGGGGCAATATGCTACGAAATTTCGTGTTACCGAAATTCCTTGAATTTCTTTGGCCACTTGTAATCTTAGTTACCTGACTTTGATACGAGGAAACTGGAAATAGTTTTGAAAGTTCCCTTTTTCGCTGAACAGGCGTAGGGATGAGGCCCATGAAATTCTAATATTGCGGTCACAAGGGTACTATGTGATTCTGCGGGGTAAAAGGTGAGGCTTTTTTGTGATTGGAATATTTTCTCGTCTGTAGTTTCGATGTATTCGGAATATATGTCTTTGAAGACGAAATAGTGTGTATTAAATAAGTAGATTAAGATACAGTTTCATTGAAGAAATAGTACTTTTCTGAATAAGCCAACAAAAATGAATGCTACCTTTATTTTTTGACTACACCCAAGGTAAACCAAACGTTTCTTTTGTAAAAGTTACTCAAACAAAGCCACATTCCACCAGTTGCTTAAACTGTCAAACACCAAGCGGTCACCGGTGACCGTAACCTATTGTTCTTTAATTGTGTCTATAAATACGGTACTCGACGAGTTAAAAAGAAAAAAAAAATCTCAAAGCACAAGCAGATTATAATTAGTACGCGAACTAAATTAGTACTCACGTTATATAAAATAGAAATAAATAATTCTAATAAAAAATCTTCGGTCTACATCCTTTTTAAATTGACCCTAATAAAGAGTACATGACATTAAATATGTTCCTTGGAAAACGTTTTGTGTTAGCCATCAGGTATTTTTAAGAACTCTTTTTT